AACCCTTTAACTTTAAAGGAATCTGATTTTCTTCCTTTATAAAACATGTCAATATTACCACTGTTCTCAGTTGTTGCAAAGATGATCATAATATTTGCCATTTCTCTAGGCACTCTCTTTCACATATTGTGCTGTATGGTTTACATGTATCATCTCTCTTAATTTTCCAATTACTCTGTGACATAAAACATGTATTTTACAAAGGAAAACAAATTTATTCAGCTAATAGTTGGGGGGAGGGGGTGTCTAGTTTCAAAGGTGTGTCTGATTTGAAAGCTTGTGCTCTTACCACTCTCCAGTATGGTGGCCCAACATTTTAGGTACTTGAAACTTTGCTATAGAGATCAGAAAAGGAGAATGAGATTTCTAATGTAATCTGAATACTGTGGAATGTGTTACTACTGAGAAAGGGTAATAAAGAGAGGAAAAACTCAAAGCCTGTCAGTGGGACTAATGCAGCCACACGAGATTCTTTTTTATGTAAAACCATTTTTCATTCTTGTTTTCCCATCAGAAGATGAATGGGCAGCCACTTTAATTGAGTTGGCTATGAGAAACAATGGCAAAAATATAAAAAAAAATCATTTGTAATATCTGAAATGTATTTTAGTCATTGACTTTCAACATTCCCTTAAACTTTTTTTACTAGAGATGTTTACAAGTAAGATAATAATTGTTTTTTGACTTTTTATCTTCTATACTTTATTGAGAACCAGCTTGCTTAGTGGAAGGATCTCAGATCCACAGCAGGTCCATACGGTTTTAGGTTTATATTGAATATAAGCACAGAGGCACCTGAGTATAATTTCTAAATAATTTGTTGGGAAATTGAAGCAATACAATCTCGGACTTTGACTTTGTCTTTTAACATCCAGCAGGTGATATATCATTTTTCCTTTTTTGTATGCTTTTTACATTCTCCCATGTTTTCATCCAAATGATTGACCTAGGACAGTAGTCGTCAAATCGTGGCTCGTGAGCCACATGTAGGCTGCTCTTTGGCCCCTTGACTGTGGCTCTTCCACAAAATACCATGACCTGGGTGAGTCTATTTTGAATAAGTGGCCTTAGAAAAAGTTTAAGTTTAAAAAATTTGGCTCTCAAAAGAAATTTCAATCATTGTACTATTGATATTTGGCTCTGTTGACTAATGAGTTTGCTGACCACTGACCTAGAACATTCACTTACATCCTATGAAATAAATAAATAAATAAATAAATAAATAAATAAATATTTAAAAAGGTTAAGTATAACCTTAGTAAGGACAATGGTTGGTATTAATTTTTGGATACACATTATCATCCTATAAAATAAAAGCCTAAAATGCAAATTGTCTATTTGTGCGGGTGGTCATTGGACCTGGAGTTCAACTGGGAGACCAGTTCAACTGCTCGCTATGATGTGAGCTGACCACCAGTGGGCAGCACAGAACATGGTGAGTGTCAGGGACTCACTCTGACCTCTCATCTACTATCTGGGGTGGGAGAGACTGGGATGGAGGTGTGGAGAAAATGAAGGGTGTCCTCCAAGTTCACTCTTGCTCCTCCTACTACCCTACTCAAGTATGCCAGGGCTTGCATGCCAGGGAGGCCCCTGTGCTCAGGTGCCCATGCAGTGTCTTATAGGTGAGTGGGGCCAAAGCCACTGGGACCCAAGGGGCTGGTTGGACTCCCTGTGGGTTCTCACAGGATCCAGTCTGTGAGGCCTGCTGGGAGAGAGCATGCTACCTGCCTGGCTTCCATGTGGTGCCACCGGGTGTCCCAGAGGCCCACGCTGTGCCCTGGCCTGCGGCATCTGGCCATCGCATCTCTGTGTGGGAACTTAGGTGTCGTGACTCAGGCCGAGGAGGGTGCACAGGAGCCTAGGGGCTCAGGTGCTGCCCAGGGCCCCTGGTCAGCTGGAACCTGCCCTTCCACGCCAGACATGTTCAACTGTTCAACCAGTAGCTATGACATGGACTGACCACCAGGGGGAAGATGCTCAACACACAGGCATGGAAACATGGAACAGACTGATGTGTCAAAAGCTGGGATGGGGGAGGGCAGGAAGAGATTAACCAAAGATCTTATATGCATATTAGAGGCCTGGTACATGGATTCATATACTGGAGGGGGTCCTTGGCCTGGCCTGCGGGGATGAGGCTGAATGGCAGTCTGACATTCCCAAGGGGTCCCAGATTTTGAGAGGGTGCTGGCCAGGCTGAGGGACCCACCAGGTACAAAAATCTGTGCCCCAGTCCTCTAGTTTATTATAATTTAATTATTGATATCATCACCTTATGCACACCAGATTCATTGAACTCCAAGTTCTAAGTAAATATTGTTGTCAAATTTTCTGGTTAACCCTCACCAGAAGGTATTTTTCCCATTCATTCTGAGAGAGAGAGAGAGAGAGAGAGAGAGAACATCGACGTGAGAGAGATACATCCATTGGTTGCCTCCTGTACTTGCCCTGGCCTGGGATAAGAGATGAACCTGCAACCCCAGATATATGTCCTTTACTGGGGAGTCAAATCTGCCACACTTCGGTGTACAAGCTGGCTCTAATCATGTAGCTAGACCAGCCAGGACTGATGTCAAAGTTTGATGCAATGTTGTAGGATAGGGAGAGGATTGGAATATAATTTCTCTGATATTTGGCACAGGCATTTAATGCTCCTAGTGTCTAACTTCAAAACACACACACACACACACACACACACACACACACACACACACACACACACACAAAATCAGAGGTTGAGATGAGATGGTTTCTAAGTCTCTTTGGCTTAATATTTTCAGAGTCTATGACTTGTGTTCACTTCTGCTTTCACTGATCTCTCCTCCAAAAGAAAACGTAGTGACTGGCAACATCTGAGGGAATAGAAACAATATGTTGGTAAACATTGGAAAGACCGTTGGCAAAAAGGGGTTACTGTCTTCACTCTGCTAAAGATAGCAGTGCTTGATTGTCAAGAAATGAACAAGATGCATGTTCTATATAATAAAAAGTTAAAAATCCCCCAAACCTGGATGATCGGATTCTACCCATCCAGATATGGCTAAGGAGTGGGTTGGAATCCAGCTGGTCCCACAGCTTTTATAATTTGAAGTAGTCAAAGATGATCTTATTATTATAATGTGACTAATAGATAGACATTTGTTGTTTATTTTCTATCTGCTCGGTCTTCCTTCTAGGATGACTTAATGTTAAATCAGTATTATTATCACCATTTTGAGATAAGAAAACTGAAGATTTAGGAGATGTGACATCCCAGTGGTCACACAAAGACTGGTAGATCCACTGTCCAGTTGTGTCTAACTGTATTTGACCACTGATCCTCGGTGGTTTCCACTGGGCTCATCCATATCAAGACCAGATAATCTGCTGGAGTATGGTTTATAGGTTCAAGCTCTGCATGTGCTAAAACCCTACCAGATCTCTCCCAGTGTTATGACTTAATTAAATGTTGAATAATAATGAAGGCACACTTCTCTTGGAAGTGTGAACACACTGTTTACACCTGACAAAATCAACTCACTGTTATGTCTATCAAGGCACAAGAATGCAAATTGCAAAGTGCTAGACAAAGGCCTTTTCTATCATCTTATTCTTAAAATCAGGGGCAAGTAATAACAGTAGTGTGAAATGAAAATTTTTTCAATTGTACTTTTTCTTCCTAAAATAATCATGGAGCAACCTGATAATCATTTTTACAATATTTTATTGTCTTTTTTTTTTCTTAGAAGAGTTTAGTATTATATGAAAAAATACTGTAATTTATTTTTTTAAAAATCATTCTTTTATTTTAAAGTATTTTAAATTACAGACACAACATTTTAGAATACAGACTTTTTTTTAAAAAGATTGATGCCCCCTATAATTTTTACCTTGGTTCCTAAAGTAGCTGCTTCATAAAGCCCATTACATATTTGGACTGTTAAAACTAAATTGTAATTGCAGATGCAAATTTATTTTTCTATTACATATTTCGAACCCAGACTCAAAAAATGACTTATTTTCTACTGAGTGAGCCTTCTAAAGCTGTGCTGTCCAGTAGGGAAATCACTATCCACATGAGGCAGTGCCAACTTAACATAAAATATAACATCAAATAAAATTAAAAATTCAGCTCTTCAGTCAAAATAACTGCATTTCAAATACTTAATAGCTAGAAATTCCTAGAGACTACTAAGTTGGAAAGTGTAGATGCATAGCATTGCTATCATCCCCAAAGTCCTATTGGACAGTGATGCTCTAGGGTCCTTTACATTTTTTTTAAATTACTTTTTATTTGTTTATGATAATTTAAAAGCAATACTACTTTTTAGAGCAGAGTTGGGTTCATGGCAAAACTTAGGAGCAGGGCTTGTGGGTGAGGTGGCTCCACAAGCAGGTTCAGGCATCTGGGGCCAGAGTGATCCTGCTGGAGGTGAGCAACTGCTTCATCAAGGAGATGCTCATGCTCAAGTTTGAGAATGCAGCTTCTGGAAACACACCAGAAGCAATACAAGTAACATTTGCAGATTTTGATGGGGTCCTCTCTCATATTTCCAAAGCTAATGGAGACAAAAGTGGTGGTCAGTATTTCTTTGAAATTCTACAAGGAACTTCAGGCACATGGTGCTGATGAGTTACTAAAGAGAGTGTATGGAAAATCTAGAATCAGGATGCAATGTCTCTGCCTCAGGACCCTGAAACTCTGCATGCAAGGATCCCAGGTGCATCAGGCTGGTATGTTGAAATGAAATTGCTTTGTTTCTGTCTTTGAGAAATACTTCCAGTTCCAGGAAAAGGCCAAGGAAGGAGAGAACAGGGCAGTTATCCATTATAGGGATGATGAGACCATGTATGTGGAGTCTAAAAAGAACAGAGTCACAGTGGTCTTCAGCACAGAGTTTAAGGATGATGGTGATGTGGTCATTGGAAAGGTGTTCATGCAGGAGTTCAAAGAAGGACACAGAGCCAGCCATATGGCCCCACAGGTCCTCTTTGGCCTCGAGAACTGAAAGGCACCGATGCTGCTGTGGGTGACAACATTGGCTACATCACCTTTATGCTGTTCCCTCAACACACCAATGCCAGCGCTCCAGACAACACCATCAACTGATGCACAAGTTCCGGGCCTACCTGTACTACTACATCAAGTGCCTAAGGCCTGCATTCACACACATACACGGGCAAAAACATCTGGCTTCCTTAAGGTGCTGAGCCATACACACCCAGATGCTGAGATGATAGAAACAAAAACAATCTCAGGGAAGACATTTTCATCCCACTGACTCTTGGGAACAGGAAGAGGAAGTGGCTGGCAACTGAAGGCTGGAACCCTTACTACAGGGTAATTGTAGCTTTTAATGTTGCTCCTCTTCAGGTTTTCAAGGGATTCTCTATTTTGGTTCCATTTTGTAAACATTTGGAAAATAATCTGCAGAAACAAGCTCTGCTTGCAAGGACTTGATAGTTCCCAAGAATTAAATTAAAAAATAAAAAAAAGGGAAAAAGAAATTCACTTGGTCAACTTAATTCCTTTTCTTTATCTTCCCGTTCTCACTGCCCTTGCCTTCCACACTCCTTCCAAGCTCTCTTGTTTTGCAATATGTTACTGGTAATGAGTTTCAGGATAATGCAATCTTGTTTTCTCCTGAGTATTTGAGTTCAAAACTCCTGTATCTAAAGAAATAGGTTACAGTCATTAATAAATAAAATATTTCTACCTTAAACAAACAAACAAACAAACAAAAAATACCCAAACAAAAAAGGAAACTTGGGCAGGTACAGAGATTTCTTCTGCACCCTCTGCCCCATACATGCACAGCCTCGCCCATTCTCAACACTCAACACCACCCACAAGGGTGTACCTTTGTTGCAATTAATGAACCCACATGGACACATCATCATCACCCAAGGCCATAGTTTACATTATTAGTAATTCTTAGTGTTGGATGTTCTATGAGTTTGGACAAAGATATGATCTTATCCTATCATTATGGGATAAAGAGTATTTTCACTGCCCTAAAAATCCTCTGCATTCTACCTTTTCTTCTTCTCCACCCCGCCAATCACTGGCAACCCAAAATCTTTTTACTGTTTCCAGAGTTTTGTCTTAACTTTTCCAGAAAGTTGTAGTGCTGAAATCGTAGAGTATGTAACCTTTGCAAATGAGCTTATTTCATTTAGTAATATGCATTTCCTCCACGTCTTTTCATGGCTTCAGAGCTCATTTCTTTCTAGCCATGAATAGTAATCCATTGTCTGGACATACCACAATTTCATTACCCATTTTCCTATAGAAGCACTTTTTTTTTACTTTTATTAAATTATTATCTGTGTGCATATTTTAACATTGCCCCCCCTTCCATACATACCCTCCCTCCCCAGAGTTTTGTGCTGTACTTATATGCATGTATACAAGTCCTTTGGTTGATCTCTTATCTCCCCCAGATCTCCCTACCCTCCCGGCTGTAATTTGACAGTCTGCTTGTTGCTTTACTGTCTTTATATCTGTCTTTTGGTTCATCCACTTATACTGTTCTTTAATATCCATAAATGAGTGAGGTCATGTGGTATTTCTCTTTCATTGACTGGCTTATTTCACTCAGCATGATATTCTCTAGTTCTATCCAGGTTGCTGCAAATGATGATAATTCCTTCTTTTTTATGGCAGCATAGTATTCCATTGTGTAGATGTACCATCGTTTTTTGATCCAATCATCTGTAGAAGCACATCTTGATTGCTTCTAGGTTTTAACAATTTTGAGTAAAGCTGCTGTAAACATCTGTATGCAGTTTTCTTTTGGACATAACATTTAAAACCCATTTGAGTAAGTGTTAATGAGCACCACTTCTGTATAGTAAAAGAAAGTTTAGGTGTATAAGAAACTGCCAAAATGTCTTCCAAAGTGGCTGGACCATTTTGCACCCCTACTAGCAATGCTTGAAAGTTCTGTTGCTCCACAGCCTTGTTAGGAATTGGTGGTTCTGAATTTTGGCCATTTTAATAGATGTGTAGTGTTAATTCATTGCTTTCATTTATATTTTCTTCATGACATATGATATGGAGCATCCTTTCATATACTTATTTACTATCTGTTTATCTTCTTTGGTGAGGTGTCTTACTTTTTAATCATTTTGTTTTCTTATTGTTGTGTTTTAAGAGGTGGGTTTTTGTTGTTGTTTTGTTTTTTGTTTTGTATAACACTTTATTTGGGTAACAATTTTGGATAACAATTCTTTACTGGTTATGTCTTTTGCAATTTTTTTCTCCCAGTCTGTGGCTTGTCTTCTCATTCTCTTGACATTGTCTTTCATGAGCAAATGTTTTTGAAGACAAGCTTATTAATTATTTCTTTCATGGATTGTGTCTTTGGTGTTGTGCCTAAATATTTATCCTTACACCCAAGGTCACCTAGATTTTCTCCTATCTTTTTATAGTTTTGCATTTTACATTTAGGTCTGTGATCCATTTTGAGTTAATTTTTCTGAAAGGTATAAGATCTGTGTCTACATTTTTTTCTTTTTTGAATGTGGATGACCAGTTGTTCCAGCACCATTTGTTGAAAAGACTGTCTTTGTTTTACTAGTATTGTATTGCCTTTTCTCCTTTGTCAAAGATTAGTTAACTATATTTATGGGGGGTTATTTCTGGATTCTCTATTTTGTTGCATTAATTTTTCTTTTCTTTGCCAGTACCACACTGTTTTGATTACTGTAGCTTAATGGTAAGTCTTGAAGTGGGTAGTGATGATCTGCTTTTACTAATCTGTTTATTTGGTTAAGACATCATGAATTAGGTTATTGCCATAAAAGGTAGCCAGATCTCAAGGCCAGTATAGGTTCTGGTATGGGTAGTATGCTTTGTAAACTCTGAGAGAGTTTTCTAATTCCACATAGCCAGCTATGTATTATGTTGTTTGCTTTAGTACATGTAATAACATTGTCCACTGTAATTTCATCTTGTTTCATAATTGGTATTCTAAATAACTATAATTTTATTAAATCATTGTGCTGCTGGTTTTGATAGATTGTATCTTTGGTGAGTGGACCTGGTAAGGAGCAGCCACAGACTCCAACTAATTTGGTGTAAAAATCCTAACACAGAGAGACTTAAGTTACTGAACTACTTGTTTATGTTCATTTTGTAGTCAAGAGATTGTCCTGCAGAAATTCACTCCTGAAGGCCGCATGGAGTTCAGCAGACTGTCTGGTGGCTGTCTGTCCAAGTTCCTTGAGGCAAAGAAAAGAGACAACAGGTCTTTGTTCTTTGACAGCTTGATTGAATGTATTCAGTCCCGAGTTTTGAATAATTTTTTTAACTAGACATTTTGCACAGTGAATAAAATTTCTTTGGCATGAAATTTAATCCTTATAGTATCTTCAGAATAATTTGAACACTTGCCAGATCTTTATATCTACTGCCCAGCTCTGGGTAGGTGTCCAAATACCTTTACTATTTGAGAATAAAACTCTAATTTCTGATTTTTAATCCCTAGTAACAGCTAGGAAGTGTAGAAAACATGAGTTTAAAAAAAGATACAGAAGATTATTGGTTTTACTACTTCTCTTGATCTTGCTCCCTGCAAGCATACAATATTTGACCAATTTTCTCTAATTCTTCTGTTTCTCATTTATTGACTAACAAATAAAATAATGTGTAAAAATAATGACAAATTGCCCAATTATCTCAATGCTAATATTAAAAAATGGCTGGACAAGCAGCCCTCCAAGAGCTTATATGAAAAGTAACATGAACTTGGAGAAAAACTTGTTTCAGTGCTGGTTGTTCTTTAAAATATTTTGTGATCATAAACATCTTCACTTAAAATTATCTGCCATAGGTTAGCTTAATATGATACTTTTTGCTTTATTAAGGTATTGTTCTGATTTTGTTCTGTCCTTTTTTCTTCCCACCAGTCCCATGCATGGTACAAGGGAGAAGGAAATGTTACTTATCTCCAGTGCCCTAGCAACCCGCTCCTTTCAGAAATCTGTATAATGGAGAGGACTTAACGCAGGAGTGAGTGGGTGTGCTGGTGCCTTTAGTGATGTAATCTTGGCTTACTGTGTTTGGCAGCTTACAAGGGTATCAGCTATTTATCATCCTTCCACATTCTATTCAATTCAAACTGGTCAGGTTAACCCTTAGAAAGCTTTCATAGTTAATGAAGAGTGTGAGCGAAAAAATTGATCCAGCATATGGCTTCACCATATTGGCGATCCTAAACGTTTTCTCTGCTTAAATCATAACCTCATCTCTTATGTGTGCCATGCTTGAAATTGTTTCTTTCAAAAGTGGCAAATTGTTTAGGTTGTATTTGTTTTATAATCTGGTTTGGTTTTAATTAATTCAAATAATTTAGCTAATATAATTATTTCTATTCACCTTTGTGCATGGGCATGTGAGTGTGTGTGTGTGTGTGTGTATATGATTTACTTACACTTGGCCTGGCTGGTGTGCTCAGTGGTTAATCATTGACCTATGAACCAGGAGGTCACAATTCCATTCCAGGTCAGGGTACATGCTTTGATGCCTAGTAGAGGGTGTATAGGAGGCAACAGATCAATGATTCTCTCTAATCATTGATGTTTCTATCTCTCTCCATCTCCTTTACTCTCCGAAATGAAATAAATAAATAAATAAATAAATAAATAAATAAATAAAATAATACTTGAATGGCAGCTGAGCAATCTTTCTGGAATAAAAAGATGGAAAATGTTTATTTTGCTGTATGGTGGTCCTAATGTATTTACCTCAGTTGAAGGCTCAGACCAGAATATAAAATCAGTGACACCAGATTTCAAACTGATAGTAGTTGGCCCATGTTAAGGGAATGCTTTTTTACTGTAAGGAGTTTAGAAGTAAATGAAGGGAGAGAGGCAAGTACAATAGTGACTATTTATTATTAAAATAATACTGTCAAAATTCTAGATGCTTCTCATCCAGCATGAGAGGAAGTTGTAAGTACATCTGAAGGGGGGTGGGGGGTGGGAGGAAATCATGCAAAACTCAAAATCCTTTGTAATTAGTCCCTGCTTGGTATTATGGATTTTGGAGAAAACAGTATGTATTTGTATTTTTCATTTCTACTTAACTTGATTTTATAATCTTCCATATTTGGCCAACTACTTTCTGAGGACACATTGCACACATGTTCTGATGCTGTTTGAAGCCCCTTTGAGAGAAAAGAGCTGATTGAAAGCTTTCAGTTCCGCTGAAGTGGGTGGCCAAAGAGCTGGGACCGAGCAGCTGCCATCCACCCAGTGAACTTTGTCGTTTATGAGT